GTGAGCAGCAAACGAAGGGAATTCTGCAGCGGCATCGTTTGTCGTCCCTGTGCCATTTAACATCCTTCTTACCTTACCTTGCCTAACAAGGGGAGTCTGGAGCTCCTTTTTGCCGCCCCGCAGAGAGCGCACACGGACATCATAAATTCTGTGACAAATGCAGGTACAAAGTGCTTTCCAGGGGCTAACTTTTGCTTGGCCAAGATAAGACTGAAAGTCCCTTTACCACCACTCCACCTATTCAGTTTCGGCCTGGTCAAACATAATTGCCAAAACTTTAAGCTCTCGGCTCTCTGTGTGAATTTTAATACCAATTGATACGATATGCTCGCACAATATTTGCATTAACCTGTCAATGGGCTCGATTCGATGGCCTATCACAGCCCTGATTAGCTGTCATTGTGCAGTTGAGTGAAATGGGTGGAAGTTCAGAGCCAAGTTCTCTGGGGGTCCTGAAGCGAACAATTGTGGTCGCAATTCTCAGTTTCCGCCTTGTTTTGTCTTCTGCATAATATTTTCAGTTTAGTGCGTCAGTTGTGGTAACAAGTGAGTTGAACTGGTTTTGTTATTGAAATGAGCCCACAAACGCACACATTTCCACACACAGTACGACGACACATAGATACAACTGCAGATATCGCAAGTGTATGGAGCTAGGTATGGGGATGTGGGCGGGGTTGACACTCGCACGCATGCATAAGTAAACAAACATAAACATTTGCTCCAACACGCCAAGTATAAAATGGCATAACAAGCAGAAAGCCACACAAAAGCAACGACATCCAGCTGTTTGGAAAGGGGAAGTTTCGGCGAACATCGCTTCAAGGAAGTGTCATTCCAATATATATCGAATCTAATGATACCCTATTAGGTTGAATATGACATAATTAGGAACGGAATACTGATGATGTCCTTACACTCGAATAACCCATAACGAATCACTGCATTCACGTTATTATTCTCTAGCAGAACAATAGAATAAAAATTGGATAGATTACATATTACATACATTTTAATTAAAGCAGTTTTATAGCATTTCTAACCCTCGGTAAGTACCTTGCACAGCCTTGAGAGTATATAACCGCTTTTGGAACCACAAATATTGTAGCTACGCCAAAGCTGCCGAAAATGCTTGCAAGAATGATACTTCTACTGCATTTTCCGCCGCAACGAAACTTTCAAGTTTGGAAAATTGCAACGATGTTTGGTTGGCACACCATCATCATCTTCGGCTTATTACCGCAACTCCTCTTTTGTGAGTTGTGAATTGTAGTTTCAGCGTAACAAACTATTGCTTCGAGGATGGTGAAGTAGCTTTATGGGAAAAGAAGCTTACCATTCGATTTTCACTGGCCAAGCAATTAAATTGAACTGGCATTGCATCTACTACATTGCACCTAAGCTATTGACAGGTTGCACTTGAAGGCTGACGTGTCAAGCATACACACATACACATCGCCGAGCACAGGCGGGTGAACATGCAATCAATTAAATTCGTTGTAAATTCAACGGCTTATCTCCCGTAATCAATCTTAATTTTCCACTTGACATGAATCGCCCCAGGAACGGCGAACTGGCAAAGAAACCCCACTCAGCTCAACTCCCACTTGTGGGATGTGTGTGCAAGCGAACAGGAATGAAAAGCTCATATAAAAGGATGAGACAAAGTAGGACTCACATACACACACATACTCGTAGATTGCGTATACGCAACGTGGCCAGTACTTTACGCATTTTAAATCAAAAATACATTTCCGGCTGCCCCACAAAGAATGCCACAATTTATAGGTAGCAAATAAGAGCGCAGAACGTGCACTCGAGGCATATGTAAAATGAAAACTGAAATTGAATGTGGGCAAATATAAGCAGATGGTTTGATAAAAAGTTGATCAATATCTTTTGTAAGCAGTTTAATTGATTTTCCTTTTGTAGATGAACAACTAGAGAACGAACCTGATTCAACCTCAAAATAGTGACAAATTGTTGGAAAATTTTATCGTTCAGTAATTTATCTGTGTAACTTGACAAATATCAATCTAAAACATAATTCACATAAATCAATATCTTCAACTAACACCCCTCTCGATAAGATATTTGGCATTGTTAAATACGACTTCATTTCAACTTGTCTGCCCAATAATTAGGTTTAATAAGTGCATTGGTAACCAGAATTACACGCATTGGAATATATGCAGCTGAAGTGCAAATAATTCTACCATATTGAAGGCTTGATACAACAATTGCCTTAGCCATAACCCCAGAAATCTCCTAGATACAATAATGTGATGCAATGTTTAATCAAAAACACTTGAAATGCCTCGAAGCCAGCCGATGTGCTTACTAATTTGCTGTAATCCAGTGACCGATTTTGGGAGTTGCGAAGATATGCTAAGATATCTTTTGACTCGCCAAAGATATTTCAGCCATCTTGTTGCAATTTGTCCATGTGCATGTGCACAATGGCCTTCTATCAATGGACAGGCAGAATGCAGGAGGAGGAGGCATCTCCAGTTGATACACGCACTGATAGACTAGTTACCGGGAGCATTACTTAATATGTGTAAATTGTGTGGCATCAACTGTGCATTGTGTGTTATCCCTGGCTATCACAACTACCGTTCCTGGTCCCCGCAACCACACCTCATCCCTCTATTACTCTATGGCTGAAGCAATTTATCATTTGAGCATGACGCACGCACTCCGCCCACGCAACAGCCAACCGCCCGCTCTCCCAACATGCATATATTCAAATGCATTAAACCATTGAGCTCATCAGGAGGAAGCTTCTTCAACCACATACCCCTCCATTCCAGACTTAGTCGTCCTCGAGGCAAAAGCATTTAACATGCAGTTTATGTTTGCCGCAAGATCTATTACAGGAAATTCACATATGTATGGCGATGTGCACAAATTGCTGTAAGTGGGCGTGGCAAGCCCGATTTACGCAGATGATGAGCTTGGAAAAGGGGCTTCACGATGGGAATGGGCCGTCTTCAAAATGAGAATGGGAATGAGGCTTACCAAGCTCTGGTCCCTGTGGTAAATCGCAATCGAGCGGCAAAACAAAACTTGATTATTTGGTGCGGTCTATGTGCGAGGTTTTGCACAGTTGGCTATGTTCACTTATGCCTGGATTTGCATTAAATATCCCTATTTAAACATGCAAGTGTACATATTTTGCGAATTGAACTAAACAAACATTACGCCTACGAAATTATGCAAGAGCTGTTGCAAAGATTTCCCAGCCTACCCGAATGTGCTTAATTTATTGATTAACTCTGACTTGGGCTCAAATGTGCTTAAAATGAAATTCTAATAAGTTTAATTACAATTTTGACTTTGAGCACAAGTTTCTGGGTGACTACATGATGAGGAGGAGGGCAGAGGTGTTAACCGAATGAGATTTAGCTCAAGGATACGAGCTGCATTTGATGAAATAACTTGCTTCAAGATACTGACTTGACCCTTTGAATTAGTTTAATTTCCTCTTATTGTCAAATTATTTTCTTTGCCAGATTGGGATAGTTGTAATCAACAATTTAAGTCCCCATTGATGATATAGTAACATAAGCTTCTCAATAATTAATAATTAAATTTTAACCAAAGGTAATAAAGATATTTGGTGTTTGAAGAAACTTAATACAAATTAGCAGCACAACAAAATAAGAAAGTAATGGAAGGAACTCTTTATAATTGCAACCTCAATGAGCTATTAAGTATTGCTTACTTAACTATAATGAACTAGTTAGTTAAGCTAAAACTAGAGCCCTTTTAATCGCTTTTCTTATTTTCTACACTTGGCAACCTCATTTGCTTATTGATGGCTAGTGCAGGAATTCCTCCTCCGAACCTCCAATCTGCATATAAATTTATGTTTGCTATAACTTTAATTACTATTAGTGCTGCCAACTATGCGAGCAACAACAACAAAAACAAAAACAACACCACCAACAACTGCAATGTCACTTTGGGCAATCAAACGAGAAAACCAAGGCTAAGACGAAGGCGTTGGAAGAACAAGGATGGTCGAGAAGACGATAGCGAGGGGCTTTTGGCCAGCGGTTGAGTAGTGGGCAAGGGCATCCTCAAAATCAGCTCTCAATATAATGCGGCGGAAGCTTTTGTGAAATCCTTACGTCCAACTTTTTAATACGAAAACTTTTACCGAGCTTAGTAGAATGGCAACAACAACGACAAGGCAATGCAAGGACTACAACAGCAAGAGAGCTCCGAAAGCAATTGCAACAGTCACTTCGTGGACTTGTTGTGGGCAGGACGACAGCCACAGTTGCCCGGACCCAAACCCGGCATATTGCATATCCTTATGTCCCAACTAGAATCCCTTCCCACATCGCCGTGGCCAACTCCCTTGCACTTGGGGCGACCAAAGCCACTTGAGCAGCACAGAAAACTAACTTAATCTTGTTTACATTCTATGACGAGTTATGAAAATGAAAGGATTAAGCCAGCCACAAACAAACGCACCAGCAAACCAGCCAACCAACCAACCAGCCAGCCAGCAAACACATACTTGAAACCCAGAAGCCCAGCAACGGATGCTAATACTGCCTTGCCACACGCACAGGCCAAATGCTTAAGCGTGGCTTAGGCAAACAAAAGTTATGCATGGAAAAACTGAGGAGAACTGTTCAAGTCAACAACATAATGGCAGGCGATCTGGGTATATCGGATATCCGGTTATCACTACTCAGCTGGCTATATCACGGAATTACCTCAAAAAAAGCTGTAAAAATCATACAATTGTATTTTATATTACTTAAAAAAGTTTTAAATTTAAATGCAATAATTAATTTATGATATATATTCAAAAATTCCTTCAACAACTTGAGGTTTTGTTTAAGTGTATTATTTTCTACAAAATTCATAGAAAAAATGGTGATATTATATACTTAGAAAATGATTAGAATATAAATCTCGCGACTTAAAAAAAAAATTTAACACAATCAGAAAATTTGAAATACGCTTCTGTTTATTGATGTTTAAGAAAAAAGTCTATATGCTTTAAGGATCCAGTCCGCGTAAGTAAGAACATCCGTGAAAGCACTTGCCCTTGTACAATTATGATTATTGAAGCTAGCGATTCCGATTTGGATGAATCGTTCCGAATTATGGTAAGAAACCAATGCACCAACTGGTCCCCCAGAATCACCGTTGCATAAATTGCTTTGCCAATTTCCGGCACAAAACTGCTTTTTCGTGATATGCCTACCAGTAAATGCAAAGCATATTTCGGATCTTGGCGTCTTAAGTCCACAGTCCTGAGAATGGTGCTATCGCCCTCAGACTCTGACTTTCCCCAGCCAGTCCCCGTCAATGGATCTATTGAGTCAATGAAGTTCCTCCACTTGGTGTCAAGCACAATGCAGATCGGTCTAATGTTCTCTAAGAAGGGGAACAAATTATAAGTTAAATTGGTAGCTGTCTTATTTAACAGGTCAGATTAAGATATAACCTTTATATTTTACTCGTTTGATTAGCTTCAGCATGGCTATATCGTTGAGCATCGTTTTGGGATGGTATAATTTGTGCCTGATGCCCCTTTCCACTTTAGCCTCAATCCGAGTGGTGCAATAGCTACCGTAACACTTAGTTTCTGCTCTTCTATTGTACTCTCCAAGACGAGCAATGCTACAAAGGAGTACAATTAGTTTTAATTTTTTCCAATTCGACTTCTGATAAGTCTTACAGATTTGTAAAAGTAGTATTAGCACGAAAGCAATGTGCTGCAGTTAGTACCAGGCCTGCAAGTATAAATCTTCAGCTGGTAACTACAATAAGAATGGATCTTTAAAAACATACGATTCGAGATTAACGTTCCGCCGCACATAAATCTTCCAGTGGTGGAGTAAAGGAAGGCCATCCAGGGACTTGATTTCAAACTAGCAACTGTCCCATTCATGACCCGTAGAGATGCGCCGGATCGAATCCCGCAGGCAGGATCAAGGAATTGAGCCGATCCCAAAAGGGGCAAAATTAAGCAAACGACTCCGATCGCAACGATATTCATCTTATGACTGTGGTCTGAACAGTCGGGCCATTGGGATTAATAGACTCCGCAGTGGAGCTTATCATTGTGTAGAATTATGAGTAACTTACATGGGGAGAATTTAATTACTAATCAGAAATATAGTCAACAATTTCCGACTTTAATGGAAATGATTACAGCAATGAATATACATATTCCCAGAAATCATTCAATAGTATTATTACTTCATCAATTTCAATGGTATCAATCTATATATTATAAATGAAATTATAAATCATTTTATTAATCTTTATTTAGTCATACAATAAGTATAAAAGCTTATGTCCAATCTACATTAGACCTCCGAGCAACTTCTAAATGGTCAGAGTATGTCTAAGTGAGCAGCAGAATGAACAACAGAAGCTCGAACAACAAAAACATTAGTAGCTTTTAACAAACACTTACATAGCCCTTTCTGGCATAAACCACCTCCCACATGTGGCCTTATAAATTAGATGTATTTTAGTTTTGTATTTGGCTAAGTTGTTTGCTTCGTGTGGCTTTAGCTTTGGCTTCGTTTTTAGCTCTTTATAATTTTATCATTTCACAAAGGTACGAGTACATACAAGCCATATACATCCCTAACAGTTCACCATTTTTGCAGGTTTATAAATTTAGACAACTTCCAGTAAATTTAGCAACTCATGGTCCTCCTCATAACCCAACCTCTAGCCACAGCCTTCTGTGGCAGCCACAATTTTCCGTTAGCTCTATTTATTTATTTGTTTGTTTGTCCACTGCCAGTCCCCATAATTTTGAAGTGTAAAAATATTTTCGATTGCGGTCTATGACACGTGCGCATCGTATCCATCAATGCTGCTGCCTGCTGTCTGCTGTCTGATGGCCTTTCCGGACGGACAGCCACGCCCTCCAATTTGCAAAGCCGCCTCTGCACTGGAAAATTTAATTTGCACATCATCGATAAACAGTCAACGATGATGGGGCAGGGTTTTTGTGGCCACCCCTAAAAACTTCCAACCCAACATAAATGGTTAACAGGAAAGGCGGACGGGAATTTGGGCCAGGGAACGTGTGAAACATGTTTATGATATGTGAGTTGAATCCTTTGCCAAAGCGTAAAGTTGTTAAGGACTCTATGAATATTGCATGTGCTTTATATACGCATATGGAATTTATTTTCAATTTTGTGCTTTGGTTTACCATCGCAAAACCTGAATTCATCAAAAGAATGAATCCGTTTTCAGATCTACGAACAGCATCATAATTTTGAAAAACAATAAAGTATACATTGATTAAATTATATATTTAAAGTCTTGAAAAGTGGGAAATGGAAGCAGCCCTCTAGAAATATTATTAATTTACCATTACCATTAACATTATACATACACTTTACTGTATAAGTTTTACATTTGGTGGTAAGAGCAATATCTCCGTGCTGCACTACCATTAGAATATTAAGCACACATACATTTTGATTTAATCCCTTCGATCTAAGATAGATTGAACTGAATCTTGTATGCAGTTTGAATTGCTTCCGGAGGCCATAAAATATGTATATCACCTATGGCAGCCGCATTATTGCAGCGCAAAGTGCCACCCCATTGGCGTTGCATAAATTGTGGCAGGTATTTATTGTATTTAATGTAAACTTGCCCACTTGGCACTTGGCAAGTGCAAAAAGGCACGCAAAGGCCACCAGTTGCGTCTGCCACTTGCCATTTTCAACTTGCCACTTTCTCATTTTCACTGGCAACTGGCAACAACAGACATGTGTGGTCGTCGGTGGGTAGGTTTCGGTAGTGCAGTTGCTGCTGCTGCTGCCTCTTCAGCTGCCGTTGATGAGTTACTGCCAAGTTGTTGAAGTTTCTGGTCAAAAAGTTGACGCAGCCTTTAGATAAAACTGCAGCACTGGCAACAGAATATGAAGAGGGGCAACAAGGATGTGTGGGGGAGACATTTGTACGATATAAAGTTCATTGAAGTATAAAGCAATTAGTGTTGGAAACCAAGCCAGGCAAAGTTTAAGCTAGGTGAGGCAGTAATTTGATTCAACTTCCATTTGTGGATTGTGTTTGCAGTCGAGCTTGACTTTGTGCTACCGTCTTCAGTGCACCTATAGAACCTTTCTGAATCCTAAAATATTTTATGCAAAGCTTTTCAACTAAACAAGATAAACAAATGATGCCAAATGAATAACAATAGAAGGAAAAATTCTTCCCACAGGAACTTTAACTCCTTTAACAGATTTTATTGTGTTTGTTTTCATTCTTTCAAAATTACTGCTTTGGCAGCAGTGCGTCACACAGCCAGGTTGGCCGAGCGGTCTAAGGCGCCAGATTTAAGCTCTGGTTCTCGTGAGAGAGCGTGGGTTCGAACCCCACACCTGGCAAAAGGTGGATGGATGCTTTTTTATTAATATTTTTTTTAACTGAAATGGAGAATGAATTCACTAATAACTAGTAAAAACTATTATTTCATATACACAGCTATCCTAATTGGTAACAGAACAGAGCAAAATGTGTGGTAAGTGAAATAATAGGTTAATCTGAGATTTGAATAATTTTTTTAATCCTTTAATTCGGCTTATGTTCTTATTAAGAATAAAATAAGATTTTTTATGTATTTCGAGAGCTATAATCAACGTATAGTTACTCATCTTTCAGTATTAATTAATGGGGATTTAATTAAAAACGACAGCCGCGGAAGAGTAAATTGCACTTGTTACCGTTAGTATATTTTAATGGTTACATATATGTACTTATTTTAATTTACTTCTCGTTTTTATAAATACAGTAATTCTTCTTTTTACAACACACCATTTCGGATCTTATTTGACATCGTCAAAAACATTCTCTAGCAAACTTGACAAAGATCAACGAATCGCGACCTCGACATGGGCATCAATAAAAAAATCATCAAGCCGCGACCATTTCCCTGCCATTAAACCAACCATGGCCATAGATAAGCTCCGCAATGTTTGCGTAAATAAATTTCATCTTCCTTTTTTGCTCCCTGGCTGTTGTTGGCCCACAATAAAAAATGACAAAAATGAGAGGGTGGGCGAAAAATTGCACTGCATAGGAAAATATGTCCATTAAAAATAGATGTGTGGCCGTTGTGCGGCAGTGAACTCGGCCAGTCTCGTCAGCTGTTGGACATGCAAATGTGCAGTTCAGAATGCCACGCCCACACGGTGGGTGGCTTTACCACCAACCTTCGTCCTCCCTTTAAAAAAAAACGAAAATGACCCCCTACTTCACCATTTTCACTGGCACGCACATTTGCGGTTCATAATTTGCGTGCCATTTTTGTATGTTGATGGACAAAATCAACAAACGAACAGGGAAAAAAAATATTGAGCACTTTTACAGTTACCAACTTGAATTTAAATTAAAATGCCAACGCAGCGCAAGGCAAATTACAGCCAAGCGAACTACACACAACTCGTGTTGTAGGGGTCATAAACGTATAAAGTTCGTATATATACATATATAGTATTTGTATATAAATGCATATATATTTATAGAGACGATAAATATTGATTGTACGGTTACGTTAATTTCTGGCAATTATGCGCGTTTCACATTTATTTATAAAATGCACTAAGAGAGATGAATGCCCAGTCGAGGAATATGGGGGACCACACCAAAATGCAACGGACTGTCGGTGTGTCCTTTATTATTATTTGTTATTATTAAATATGTCTCGATAATTATCGAACTCTTTCTCGGCCAGCATTGACCGTTAAAGCCCAACTGCCTGTGGTTGCCAGCTCGGTTGGCCAGATGCTTAAATGCACATTGAGTGGGCCAAATCGAAATGGCCCATATACGTATGCCTTTTATGTAGGCAGATAGCCATAAAACCATATGTGCATACCGTGGCAACATCGAGGGAAGATTTAAATATTGATTAAAAATATTTTCATTCTCTTGCAAAGGTAAATATTTCATTTTATTTATCTTCTCCGAATTTAATTGATTAAATGTGACAAAAAAAACACTTAAAAATTAATAGGATATTTTAAATTGTATGTTTACCGACTTAAATGGAATATAAAGATATATATTCTCTTACATACATAAATCATTAAGTGCAAAAAACCTCTAAAATATTAAACTTTAAAATATTTAATATATCCTTTAGACTCTAATTCATGTCAGCCCATTTTTATGTAATAAATAAATACAAAATTTTTGATTCAATCTAAGGTGCCAATCGTTGCATAAATTAATAATCATTCATTTTAAATAATTAATAAAGATGGAAACCTTTGATAAAGTTGCAAAAATCGATATTGATTCCATTTGAACGGGCCTGAATATCTCCAGCTCGCCTCGTTTTATTGCATCACTTAAAATAAATTTAATTAATTAAACCAGCCAAAAAGGATGGAAAGTCTGAAAAATAAAACAAAGCGTTCGAGACACTTTTAAAAAGTGGGCGAGGATTCTGGCAGTCTTCCAGGCAGCCGATTTGCATCTTTTCTCCTCCTCCTTTTTTTTTACTCCAGTGGGAGGAGGAAGAAGATTGGAGTTCCACCTCTTGCGACATGCCATATGTGCTTGCCAGTTTCCCGAGTCTGCATCTGTATCTGTATCTGGGCTATCTTCTTATGTGCCAAACCGCTTGTGTTCCGTATCTGGGCTGTGTTTCCTTTAACTTTCCGCTGGCATCCGGTTGCTCGCTCGTATGCTCAGTTTACTTGGCTGGCTGGCAATTATGAGAAGAAGCAAAATAAAAATAACATTTTTAGCAGCCAGTTTTCGTTCCCATTCCATCCCAACCAACCGAAAAAATTCAAATTCCAAGTTTTCTCTGCCTCGGAGATGGCACCAGAGTCTATAGATTTGGCCCAGTAGCTTGGGATTGGGTTGCTGGCAGCCAGTTAGCGACAAACAATTTTTTTAGTGTAATTATCTTTTGAATAATTAAAGAAAAACGTTGGAGGAGCTTAAAAAGGAGCAGAAGAAATGACACAAAAAGAAACCGCAGAGCTGCAGAAACCGGCGCCGGGACAT